ACATATTTTATACGCAGACGAAACTCGTTATAATACTATACTGATTAATAATACCACTTCTGTGAATTGGGCCAACGTCACTTTTTTTAAAAAACTAAAGAAAACAACTCTGTTTGCACTTTTATCCAACCAGATAACACCTATTACAAGTATTTTTCAAACCCATCAACACAATAAATAAATTGTTGTCGGAGCCTTTAAGCAAAATGCTCAAATATAAAATGTAAAATATATTAATTTAATTTGTGTATTTCAACAAATGAATGTAATATAAAACCTTATATAATTTAAGTATTGAAGAATTAAAAAAAAATGTAGTAATTTTTTTGTTTGCCCCAACAAATGTTGTTCATTGGCTTCAACTTATAGTTTCAATAATTCAGCATTGCTAAACTACTCTTAAATATTAAGTACAGTTGGTGCAAACGGCCATTTGTGATTTAATAGCTTAATAAATAACACAAAATTAATTTATAATCAACTAACTAATATTATATTATTAAGTTATGATAATAAATTCACCTTGATTTGTAACAAATGTGACCTTAATCCAATCTGTAAATGAAACCACTGGAATGTATTCTAACATATTATATTCTTCTTAAAACTAATCTCAAACTCCAATCGACTCATCACACAGTTAGCTTCAGTTAATCTTTCTGGAAACCAGCCCAGACACCTTAAAAGAAAATTATGCCTAGACCTAAGATGTGGATTTATTATATCATTAATCATGTTATTTTTGGTGTTTCTCTTGTGAGATTTCCAATCATGTCTTTCACTGATAATTTTTATTTCCAATTAATTTACTTATTGTACATTTTTTTGTATAAATTGTAAAAAAAAATGTACAAATAAAGCCATTATTTAAAAAAAAAGTTTTAAATAAAAATAATTATTTATCGTGAACACAGCTGTTCTTATTTTTCACACAAAATTCCATTCGCTCAACTTAAAGTAATATACTCTGCAATCTACCTAAATTTCAAATTTATGTGGAAATGTTTTCTCCAATATGATCCATAGACCGTGTCTTCATGACTTACAAGTGGTAGGTAGGTATTAAGTTGTTTTTGTACTGTTTGGCGATTTTAGTATTAATGAAATACCCGGTTATAAACTTCAATATAAAACTAGATATTTCAAATTTTTAATTTGGCATATCTCCAGCGCTAATCAAATGTAGGTGTTTACCAACAATTATAATTGGTTTTAATATCGATTTCGATCGCCAAATAAATGTGTATGCAAAATAATATTTTAAGTGCCCGCTTGTTTTTGGACTAGTGTTCGTTTCACGATTCGTACGAATAATACATACCTACATAAAACTTAATTTTAATCCACCGTGAACGAATCGATACATATTATATAGGCATATATATTGCAGTCTATACGTTACAACGTCAAAGTGTGTTAACCGAAGAAATACAAGTCGGATAACCGGCTCGATAGACCATTAAAAATTGCGGGAAGACCGACAAACCGAAAACGAAAGCAAAAACAACAAAACCCAAGCGACGCCTGAAAAAACTCGACTCGACTATACATGTTTTTAATTTTCATAGACTATTAGCTGCCGAAACCTACAAAATGTTAATATACCAATTTTTGTAAAAATACAAAACCCTAAACAGAATATTATAACGGAGTGGAGTGTACCTGTTCATTCCGTCCTATCCTAACAAATTTACCATCGTACCCGACTTCTAAAAAAAATCAAAGCACAAGAGTATAGGTACCCGAATTCGTAGAAAACTATATTAGAGACCATAATAATATAGAACATCCAATACGGGTACAATTCCATTAATAAGAGTTTATGTATAAACCGGATTTGCGTTTCGAGTGATTCTGTATGCCTGTATATATGCTGGTTACCAAGGACCAAGGTTGTTAATAAGTGTGCATTTTTTTTTAGTACTCGTGAATAGTGGATACTAAAAGCAGTAAAGAAGAAACAGTCATTGTGGTTTGTTCTAAATTCCAATTAATGTATGTTTAAAATTTAAATAATATAAAATAATTTTATGTAGATGTTAATGATCTCGATTAATTAATTTGTAGGTCTTCATAAATACCCATAAAAAAAAAAATCAGTACGATTGTTAGGTATTCAACATGTAAGTGCACACCAATGTATGTCCACAAATCAGTTTTAACTCGGATATTTTAATAATTGGCTATGGCAATTAATTGGAACGTTTTATTTCAGAAATATCCTGTTCCTCATGCTGTCGTTTACCATTCAAAGATTGGGGGCTACTTGGAAAATCGACTACATTACTATATTGTTGCTATTTATAATATTTATGAAAATGGAACTGTATACTTTTAGAATTTAGCATCATTGCAAAACCGAGAATACTGAAGGTATTATATTGTATATTATACATATATTGGCCGTGATGGAATAACATGATTACGAAAATACAATATTGCCAATGCTAGTATTATTATTATTTACAATAAAATTGCCATCTCGGAGATTTTAACGAAAGCACATGTACAGAAGAAAAGCGAACGTTTTATTAAAAATATAGTAAAATTTTGGAACTTTTCCACGTTGTTTTTTTTTTTTACATCGAGTAAAAAAAAATGTACGTCTGGGCTTAACAATAATAAACGGCGGTTTTTATTTCTCGGCGAAATGGATATTTTGGCCTATATATATATATGTATACACTTATATATCATATATGTGTGTGTACTTTTTTTTTTTTTTATTATTTCTCCCTTCCACCGCGTTTGGCCTTGTTAATTGACCTCGATAATGATCGCGACTCGCACTGCCAAGGCCGGCGACCAACCAGGGCAACAACTCGGCCCTCCGCGTCTTTCCCATCATCGCACCGACTGCACGCACCGTCGTGGTAGTCGTGTGTGCTGCTGCCATTTCTACTTTCTAGGTCAACGCGCTCTGCCGCCACAGTCGTGAGCAGCAAGTAAGACGTACACTGCTCTTGAGAATCTCTCTCCCTCTCTCTCTTTCTCACACACACACATACATTCGTTCTATTTGTAAGTCGTAAATTATACCGAAAGTGTATACACCATTTGAATGAAATCCGCAACACGTTCAAAATATTATGACAATGAACATCCCTGTTGCGTTGCCCGACGAAAATAATTATCTCGACGTACTACTTAAAAATATAACAATAATAATAATAATAGTAATTAGCGAAAATACAATTTTTTTTTTCATTATCGAAACTTGTTAAGGTTTATATCGTAAAATGTAAACGTCCGTATAATTAGTGATTTTTATTTTTATCTAGAAATTCAATTTCATCATAATATTCTGAAATAATGAAGCGCATATTATGCGCAGTTAGAGGGGTAGCACCCTCGAATTTAAAATGGACGCCCTCTAAGATTTGTTGTGTTTATGTATTAAAATGTTAAGTATAAAAAAAACCAAAAACTTTTTGCAGAGTTAATAACAGTATTTATTATACAGTATAATTCAGGGTTCAAAAAATTCACGGGCATTTAAAAAAAAAACCCAATCGGGGTTTAATGGGTTTTTACTGACTTTTATTATTATCTTAAGGATCTATTATATTTGAGTAATGTTAAATGATTTTGCAGCTGGGGATAAATTTAAATAAAAATACATAACGTTTTCGAACTTAAAAGTTTAGAAGTTATCACGTTGTAGCTAAGCGTCTTAAAAATTCAAAAGTTTCAATCCTAATAACCGTTTAAGGTACTAAGTTATTAAATATTTAAAAAAAACCATTTATTTATTTATTCGTATGGCATTTATAATGGGGACCGAGGTCCTAACAGAAAATAAAGAACAAGAGAAAACGTAATTTGACATAAGTAAAAATATATAGGTAACGTTATGTTTATAATTGAATGTCCAGGCCAGACAGCCACTCCACGGCTCCTGCTGATGCCCTGCAAAGTCCTCCACTTTACCGGTGTAACTTCTTTTTGGGAATTCTCCAACGATATGGGACACTGTCTGTTTTTGATGGCCACAAAAAAAAACCATTAAAATAGCACATTTAAAAAAAAAGATTAATTTTATACGCAACTTTCCATGACTGACCTGGACCTAATTTAATCTTATATTCAAGGTTAATAAAGTTGTCCAACTCCGTTAAAATAATTCTTTATGAAATATCATAATGTGAAGTATTTTTATTTAATTTTTCTTTACGATTTTATGTGTCATTAAATATTTTATGTACGTTTTTTACAGGTCTAAAACTATACTTCAAATTTTGAAATGAATAAGTTTTTGACTTATGTGAGAGACAAAAAGTAGTAAGATACTATTATTGTTGTTCTTAGTATTTTCAAATAAGAATTTAATCTTTTCAAAGTTCACTAGGTAATATTTTAGTGTGAGTTATACTTATACCCGTTTAATAAATATTAAAAGGATGCCACACCACCCATTTATTAAGGAGTTGGGTATAGGCAATTTTTTATCTTAGTACAATCAGTTACAATCTTCGTTAAAATTAAAACTGTGATGTGTAATTGTTAGTTTAGTAATAAGACTCATTTTTAGTAGTTAAATTATATTTTGGACCATCGCAGCATCCTTGACAGAGATTTAAAAAACAATTTTGAGAAAAAGCTGTCTCACTTTTTTGATACAGATTTTTAAAAATTGTCTGACAGGAGTTACTTATTTCATCTGAAAGTTAAGAATTTTATCTGTCTCGCCTCGACGAGATTTTTATAATAACTAAATTATTAAAACTAAAATGAGTGCTTAAGACATTTTTTTTGTTTTCTTAATTTAAATAAAAAATTAATTGCGTTATTAAATTAGATTGTCTAGGACAATTTTTGGAAGACCTGTATCAAAAAAGCAAACTTATGTTTTTATAACGTAAAAATGCATGTACGGCGTCCTCTTAATACCTACAAACCTAACAAGTTCTATAAACGACATAATTTTTATAGACTAAATACAATACATATTTTTAGATACTTCATAAATACAATTTTTATAATTATTATACACATTATACAACATATTAAAACGTATTATATTGGTTGAAAAAACACTATTGTTACAAAACTCATGTCATATAATTAAATTAACTATATGAAATTAAAAACTATGTTAGAAATATTAAGATGTTGAGGAGTTGAAAAAATTACGATGTTTCTAACTTGTTGCTTTCAAATATAATAATGTATTTACCAAGTTACTATAACATTTACAGGCTATACACAAGTGGATGTTTTGTTTTCTAATATTTAGATAAGGTCTAATTTTGTATAATAAAACATATTATTATATAAGTAGTCCACGGACAGGGTTTTTACTTGGTTTACCTGAAAAAAAAAAAATTACATTTTAAAAAATATTATAAAATATTTATTTAACAGATACTTACCACATTGCTCTTTGTACGCCTGCTAATTTATTATAATCTGCTAAATGTCTGAAGATAATTCTACTTAGTCGCCAACGTTTCACATTTCCTCTGGGACGAGATGTGATCTGACATCGCTGAACAATTCTGGTTATGCTAGCATCTCTTGGGCAATGATAAATTTCTTTGTCAGCTATTTCCTAAAATTAAAATATACAATAATCTTTTATTTAAATTAACAATATGTACAAAAACATAAATACTAGTGTATCTTTAGTAAACTCATACAATTATACCAGATACTTACATTACCATGACTGACAAGAAAATAACTTTTTGAAATAAAATAAAAAAATTAAAATATCCTTAGACTGTGGGAAAAAACTTTAAATATAATATGATATTTAATATTTTTAAATATAAGTATAATTTAAATATATTAATACAAAGTTAATGACTATACTCTATTCAGAATAAGAACAGGCTTCGGCGGCCGACCAATTTTCGTCGGGCGGCGGTCAGGCACCACCTATTTTACATTTTGTCAGTAGCCCCACTGGCGGCAGTGTTTGAGGTCCGTTGCTCGTAGTGAAGCCACGCCCATGTGCACAAGTCGGCCGCCAAAGCCTGTTCTTATTCTGAATAGAGTATATATAGGCATAAAATCAAAAAATTACCTGAACTTCTTGGGGAATTATATCATTTTTACGAATTGCGTTGTATCGCAACTTATAAATGCCATACTCTTTTAACGTGTTTCTTTTGCGAGCATCTTTTTTCATTCTGTGATCAGGCCACTTATTACGTACTTGCTGGTTTTGGGGCATTACACCCATCTAAAATAAATTTAAATTTGGTACAGTAAAAGGAATATGTAACTTTATTATTATTCATATATAACTTGTGACCAGTTACCACTGTAATGTTAATGGTATTTATAAAATGGGCTTATATGTTTAAAAATTACCAAATGTACTTACACAAGCTTCATTTATTGGTGATTGATATTTAATTGCAACTTTACATCTTTGGAGTGCATTGATTATGAACGCCATAGCGTTATTGCATAAACCAAATACAAGTATTTATAATGTATAAACCTAAATTTTTAAAACATATAACAAGATATATTTTTAGAGTTGAAGTTAATAAATAGCTTTAATAATATGTAACATAAGCATGGGCATTAAACATTTTATCAATTATCAGAGTCGGACATGAGAATTATTATCAATGCAAATTATTATAATATAGATAACATCGTTATCAGATTAACATTATTATCACGAACTGTTTAGTGATAAAAGCCATAATCTGTGAACAGCGATAAGAAAATTTAGAACAAATTCAACTATAAAATTAAAATTTTTGTAATAAATCATTGATTTGTCATCGTTTCATTTTCATGTAATAATATTGTGGGTTGTTGTATTTTTTAATTTTAAGATGTCCTGTTTGTTAAGTTACACATTTTAGTATAAAAGTTGAATTTACATTTCTTTACAATGGAAATCCGAAACTCGGAGGATAAGGATGATGTATGTAAAATCTTCTTAAAAATACCTATACTGCCATATATTGATATTTGTGCGTTTTTCATTATAATTTTATTTATGAACTACGTATTAAATATTTCTAGAACTTCGAAAGATTAACAAAAGAAGAAATTTGGAGCAAATACCAAGACGAAATCCATTCTTTGAAAAAACAAAATGAGGGTAATTAGCATTTTGTATGTATATTTATATTAGTGTGGGTCAGAGAATATTTCTGTGGTGTTACAGCTAATTTAATGTTAATTGTCAAAAAAATAATATTTTTAGTAAAAATTTAAAGTCAACCTCTGCCATGCCCCCACAGATTTTTAATGTTAATGTGCATTAATCATGTACTTTTTGGTGTCCTGCTGCTGGCTGCAGATTAAGCTACAGTATTCACAATAACTAATCGAGCTGGGTAGCAAAGTATCACAGGAAACAAGCTAGCCAATAAAACACCATTACTTATTTAATTTTATAAATTAAAGTGACATAAAAGCAACAACTATTATTCGATAAAGATCTCTAGAAAAATATTTTTAAATATACAAAATAAATCAAAGTAGGTAGCTTCATTGGGTGCCCCCCTACTTCACGTTATATTCATGTTATATTATTTCACTTGTAAATGTTAACTAATTTACTGTTTTGCTATACTGTATAGATGTAAATATTCAATTTAATAAAAAAAATATATATATATATACAAATTAGCAGTGCTATGGATCGAATTGTCGACTATTTATTTTATGCGGAATTCATACTGGAAATGGAGGGCTGCCCCATCATAGCTTATAAATAGTAACATTTTTATGCGTGATTCCTGGTGGCAAGAGCGCAGTTTACAATCTACTTGTCTGTAAATTATGAAGATGGTACCTCTACTATCAGTGCAAATTGGTTTCCGTTTTTTTTTTTTTATTAACACTGCTTATTTGTATATTTTAAAATCAATGCAGCAGTTATTATTGGCATAAAAACAGTCAATGTTATTGTGCATGGCATTGCTTGACAGTATATTTAAAAATAAACAACATTACAATAATGCAGTTCATAATTATAGTATAATATTTTAAAAACACACTTATTTATTTTATTTTAAATCACTCGTTTACTGTATGTAATATAATTTAGATTTACATGAACGAGAAAAAATGTGGGAACAAAAATGTCTTGATCAACAGCATATTTATGAGCAGTCAGAAAGACAGGTATTTAATTTATTGACTAAAGAATAAAATATATAAATAATATTTATACTAGTATGTTTTTAAGGAACTACTTGAAAAAACCAAACAATTACAAGATGCAGAATTAAAGATAAATCAGCAACAAGAAACCATCAATAAATTAAAGAATCAAAAAATAGTTGAGAACTCTGATGAAGTAGATGCATTAAAAAAAAAACTTCAAAGTAACAAACTTGCATTAGATGCTATCAAAAAAAGTCTAGACAACGAAAAGGCTTTTCGTATCTGTGCCGAAGAAGAAGTAAAATCCCTTAAAGCTCAAATAAATTATCAAACAGAAAAACAAAATTCTTTAGAACGCGACAATGCAATATTAATTAAAGAAAAGCAATCATTAGAAATATCAAAAAACAAAGTCAGTAAACAATGTAATGAGTTGGTTGAAAAAATTATATTACTGGAAGAACATTGTGATAAAAAAGAACAGGCTTTCGATGAGCAAGCAAAGTATATTAGTGAACTTGAAGATAATCTTACTGACCTTAAAGAAAATTTAAACTATTGCAACGACCTAAAAGAAGAAAAAATTAAGTTGTTAAATCAAATTGAACATATATCAAGGTGTATTCAAACGCTTGAGAATGAACGTGATATGTATGTACAAAATTTACAGAAAACCCAAAGTCAAGAATTTGAACTTCAGAATATTGTAAGGACGTTAAAAAGTGAACTAAATCAAAAAAACGAGTGTCTAAATAAAACTATTGAGAATAATTCAACTCTGAGTTATACTAACTCAAATTTAAGAACCCAAATAAATAATTTACAAACTAATTTTTCAAGCTGTTTACAATTTTTCGATGAAGTTTTTGATAGTCATATTAAAATTAACACAAATGAAGAAAAAAAAAAGGAGTGTTCTGGCTTAGTATCTATCTTGAAATCATATTTAAACAACACTCTTGATCTTTTGGAAAAAACCCTGTTAGAATTTAAAATACACAAACATAACTATCAAGACTCTATTTTGGCATTGAAAGATGAACTTAATAACAAAGAAGAATATATTACTATATTAAGAAAAGAAACAAAAGATGTACGCAACAGAGAAATACAGGCTACTGATTCCAATTTAATGGTTAATACAACAGCTGTTCATACAGATACATCAGCTTTGCAAAACTCAAATGTTTTGGTTACTAATATTTTTGAGGAACTTAATCAAAACTTATCATATGTCAGTGAAATCAAGACTGATTTAATACCAAAGCAAAAACAACTTGTAGCCGAATGTAATATGTTTGTTTTGGACAAAATTAAAGACCTGGAAGATATATATAATACAAAAATTCAGTGTATAGGTAGTTTATACAAGACAATTAACCAAATGAAAAGTGAAATAGATCAAAAAGATGATGTGATTAAAGTACGTAAAGATGAGTTGTCAGTATTAAATAATAAATTAGAAGAAAAAAATTTAATTTGCCATGAATTGGAAACCGAGTTACTAAGTTATAGGGATAATTTTGGTGAGTACACTTATTAATTGAATAGAAATCAAAATTACTATATAAACACAAAACAGATAAAACTGACATAGCAGATATGAACTATCTGTTATGTCATATGTGACACATTTTAATACCACACACCTTTTAATATATATATTTCATCACATGGCATATTTTACATTTGTTAGATTGTTCAAGCACAACATCAATTTCTAGAGCAGATGAAATGCATAGAATGCGAGAAATAGAAGATAGCCAAGATGAGCGGTTACAAAAAGTTATTACTATTTGAAAACTTAATGGTTGAAAGTTTTTTTATATGTTTTTCATTACTTTTTAGTTAAAAACAATTGCAATTAAACAGAAAAAAGTAATAGCTGATTTAAAACAATCATTAGAAAAAGAAATAAAAAAACATAATCTAGAAAAAAATGAACTTCTTGCAAAACTTACAGCTTCGGTTAATCAAGGAAAACTTGTTCAAGTAAGTTAATCAATATATAAAAGACAATAGTATTTTTGTAATAACTACAATGATGAACTTTCTTGAAGTATGGAAAAGCTAAATTTTTAGTTTGAAAACTAACTTATAAGCTATGTTTTTTTTATGAGCTGAAAAAACATATTATTATGAATTGAAATTTTTTTTTATTTAATTTAAATAATATTTTCTTTTTAGTGTTTACAACAGCAGTACGATATTAAATGTGACGAATATGATGAAAAATGTACAGAAGTTAAAGGCATGTTAACAAAATTAAAAGACGGAGAAAATCAATTATTGGAACAAACTAATTTATGCACATCTTTAAAATCAAAAATTGATGAGTTAAAAAATGATTTAGTCAGTGCTAATAAAACAATAAAAAGGTAATTTATTTTAGTTTTAGAAAAATGTGCCTTATTGTGTCAAAAATTGTTGATAGTTTAATATTTTAAATTTTAAATAAAGCTTTTTATTTCAGAAGTACAAATTTTTAAATAGTTTGTGTATACTCTGTTCCAAAAGAGAATAACTAGCGTAAAATCCAAAAACAATTACTAAAAATGTATAAGCATTAGTTTCTGCGCTGGTTATTGTCTTTTGAAACGTAATATAGTTCCCAAACTACACGTATACTCACTTCCACAATAACTCATTTAAAAAAAAAATATTTTTGACTTCCATATAAAGAAATACACCAATTAATGTGATAAATCGAAAAACGAGAAGTCTAATTTATAGTTATAATAAGTTGTGTAGTTGGAAAATAATATTTACCATTTTATTTAGTAAAAATATTTTTTTATTATTAGCCTAAAAGATCTTGAAAAAACATTTTCATCTAAACTCGAAGCACTAAAGCAAGAAAAAGCTGCTAGTGATATTATGAGGATGGATAAAGAAGAACATGTTAAAGAACTCACAAGCGCTTTGAAAACAACCAAAGACAAAATAAAACATTTAGAATCTGAAATAAGTACGCTAAAGGCAGAAAAAAAGAAGATAAACATTCGCGACCTCGAACTCAATTCCTATGAAGTATTATTTTAAATACATTTTAAGACTAATTATAACTTACACTTCATTAATTAAAATTGTTTTAAATTTTAGAAAACTCTGGATGAACTTTCTCAGAAAATTAAAGAAGAAAAATCACTTAGCCAAAACCTGGAACAAGAGCTCAATAATGCAAACAGTGTTATTGATTCATTACATGAACAAATAAAACATTTAGCAAATACTATTTCTACTGAACAAAATAGGAATAAACAAATTTCAGTGAGCATTATTTATTTTTATTTTACGGTGGGATGATAATCAAACCCCTTATGTCAATAATTTCTAGTTTGAAGCTATGAACCTCAGGGTCACACAGCTTGATTAGAATATTCATTTTATTTAATAGTAAACATTAGTAAATTAATATTTATAAATAATAATAAAAAGTTAATACTACAACAATATTGTTTTATAAATATTTTATTAGCATCAAATGGAATTGTGTAGAACTGGTTTGAATAATGCTGAATCATTATTAAATGAAAGAGAAAACTCTTTACTAATATGTCAAGCTGATTTAGACCAAGAAAAAGCATTAAATAAAAATCTCACTGATAAATATAATCAAATACAGTCACAATACGACACCGAAAAAGAATATTATCAATCACAGCATGCATTACTGAATGACAAGGTAGAAACATTGAAAAATAGTAAACAACTATAGCGTATTATATTTATAAGATTTTCAGTTTCGAATTTGTAATGTTTCGTTATAGATTCGTAGATTACAAACAGAATTGAAATCAGCAAATATATCCATCGCTAAATACACCCAAGAAAACCAAAGCCTGTTAGAAGAGTTTGAAGCATACAAATTACGAGCACATAGTGTCTTTCAAAAACACAAACAAGACACTGCCTATAATGTTAAAGTTGCCGAGCTTACTGATCAACTTCATGAAGTCACCGATGCTTTAAATCAGTGTAAAACTAACATTCAATCTGTATCGTGAGTATTCAGTTAATATTATTCCTGTTTCACACCCGTAGTTATAATATGCACATTTTTTACATTACTTAAATACTACAATACTTGAAAATACATTACTTAAATTTAACATTTCACACCTAGGCGTCTGATATGCCATTTTTCCACTGGTCCAGATTTTGCGAATGAAAAACCGCACATACTATACACATAGGGTGTGAAATGGGCTTATCTCTGCTTTACCAAATTTTTAAATATGCAAAAATATGCATTATTTGTGTTGTACTTATGATAAGCATTACAATTTATTCATGTGTTTTATATTGTAGATCCGAATTGACTGGAAAAGAAACTGAGGTTGGTTTATTACAAAACGAAGTAGAAAAGTATGAAAAACGACTAAGTAACATGACAAAAACACTATCAATAAAAGACAAAGAAATTTACCAATTAAATGTTGAAATTGAAAAAATTAAATCTAAATTAGAAGATGAAATCAGAGTTCTAAATGTATGTTTCGATTTTTGTAATAGACAAATATTTATGTAAATTTACAATATGTGTTTGTAATAAATACATCATACCTATTGTTTCAGGAAAAAATTTTAAACAATCAAATGCTGTATGAATCAGAAATAGACAGGTTGGAACAAATAGTTCTTAAGGAAGAAGAAGCACGTGTCTTAAATCCTGAACCAAGTACTGCCCTACCTGAGGCGTCAGAGTTTAAACTTAAGAAATCATTATCTGCGTCCCATATTCAAGACGATGACGAAATAGTATGATGAACAGAAATAAATATTAATTTACATATGATATCTGATTTTAAATTATGCATTTTTACTTATTAGTATTCGGAGTTTGAAAGTTCAAATGAATCTATGAGAAAACTGAGCAAAGGAGGACTTATGCCTTTAGAAGATTTGTTAACATTCGACAATAACAGTGGTGCATTAACATAATATTGTTTAAAAATGTATGTACAATTATGATACTTAATATTTTTCATTTCCATAGTAAGTGATGCTATAAATGAGTTGAACACTACACGTAAACAGTTAAAGCAATTAACAGTCATGTTAAATGAAACTGAAAAGAACTGTTCTCGTTACGAACAACAAAATAAGTTCCTTAAAGAAGATATAAGAAGGTTGCAGCGTAGTGTAGACAGAAATGAAGAAATAAAAAATATGGAGTACTTAAAAAATATTATATTTAAGGTACTTGGTTGATAGGATGTTTGTAAATTCCCGTTTAAATTTTAGCTTTCGATTTGATATTTTCAGTTTATAACATTGTCAAATGGAGTAGAAAAATGTCATTTAGTTCCAGTAATCAACAAGTTGCTCAAACTCAGTCCCGAAGAACAAAAACAAATTGAATCCATTGCTAAAGGTTAACAATTTAACATCCATTATTATCCGACAGCACTATTAAATTTATCATAAAATATTGTGTAATATATCATTTTTTATATCATTCTTTTGTTTGCAGGTGCTATAACAGATCAAAATTCAAGTTGGTCAAATTTGTTTACATGGACACAAGGATCGTAAACTAATAAAAGTATTTAAATAATAAATACGCTTTATACTATTTTTGGTATTACTGGTACTACTGCCCTGCTGCTTACGTGTATAAGTATTATATTTTATTTAGACGGTTCATTATTTTTATCTACCCTAATCATGTGATATCATTAAATGTTTATACGTATATTATGATTTATATGTTAGCAATAAATATCTTTTTTTGTTTTTATTGAATTTTTTATTTATGCAATATTTTTTTTAACAGCTACTACTTAGTCATTATTTTTCTCAACTAAAATATTATAATTCATAATGTACATTAATAGTTTTACTGGATGCAATCACCTCTTGATGGAAGTGTGAAGATGTTTACAGTCTAAATTCTTGGCTATAAAAATTATAGACAAAATATAGAAAATAATTAATTTTATATCAATCTTGTTAACTAGATTTCAGGTTAATTCATATTGGTTGGGCTTATAAGTTAACCGAATTGTCCATTGCCCCCCCCCCCCCCAAACACAATAAAAGGTATCAAATATTCCATTTATAATTAATTGTGACTAAAATTTATTTCAATTTGAATTAAGTTTTGATTTCAAAATTAAAAGTAGGTGTATTCTAAAACAATAAGACCCATCACATTCACCAGTATGACTGATTTCTCTACACAACTAATTTTCATGTCGACTAATAATAAGGCAATTCCTATGCCTAGCTATTCCTATTCATTTATATATATACCCCTTCCCCCCGTATGTATATATATATATATATATATATTTATATACTTATTATTATTACTTATGTATAGGAAAAAAAATCATCTTATCTGACAATATTCATAGATACTTCTAATATAATTTAGATTTATTTTAAATGAATATTATTATCATTTTTTAAGTATACAATCGTCAAAATATAAGTTTACGATTAAGACTTGAGCTACCAAGTGAATACTTATTATATGAATATGGGTCACGTGGCCGGTGGCGAATGTTATGCTTATAACCTAAGCGTGGCAATGTGGCATTAATGAAACTTTGCTTACTCATCATAATATTATGACGTCATATTATATGTATATCAACGCCCGCCGTCCACTATATCTAGTTTTTTTAGTAATAATATGTGGCTGTTTATATATAATAAGTAATAATCGTACACTATAATATAAAGTATATATTTTACTTGTATGGAAATTGGAAAACAATAAATATGTACCTAAGAAAAACGATGTTAATTTTTCAATTATAAATTAATCAATCTTCATATACATCTTGACAATCACATGCATTCGCAAATGTATAATAAAAAATAATAAAGTAGGTAATGGTAATGAACAAACTGTACCTAATTGTAAAGTACATAGGTATTTATATTTGAAATACAAGATGCTTACACGGTTTGTGGTTGAATTTTTTTTTTTAAATGTGAATGAATAAAATCATGAAATTGGATTGAGTAGAAATTACTTCACTTACGAATAGACCTTTAGGCTTTAATATAAGCAACGCATTCGTGAAAGCATGTCGAGCACTTCCGCTTTCCAGACTGTTTTTATATTTTCATGATTGATAATGTACGATGAATAACCTATCGCCTATCTGATGGGGATCTCATATTATATTAATGTTGTTATAATTTATCAGGAAGTATTTAAAAATTGCAAAATTACCAATCTTCATATTGTTATAAAATATAATAGAATTATTATTAATACGAACTATATTATTACTGTTTTATTCATTTATTGTTCACAAAAAGTTATTTGTTATTTTCTTTCAAACCCAAGTACATTTTTACTCATAGACTGTAACACATAAGTACAATTTTAATAACTATAATTTAAAAAGACGCCACAAATGCTGTTTTGCTTTCATATAGAAGGGTAGGCATTCTGTGTTCAGATGTACATAATATTATGGGTTGATATTATTTAGGTAAATTAAGTGCCTTTAAAATTGTAAACTAAAATGTAATCTTAGTTATGTGTATGTTAAAATTAAAATTTATGTAATTAGATTGACGAATTATTTTGAGACAAAGTCTAGCTAAGCTATAATGTAATATTTAGAATTGGATTAGGACAAATACTTTTTACATTATGGTACAAAAAGAGGATATTACTTAGACTTAGGCTTCTTAAAAATAGTAAATTCCTTGAAATACAACGTGCACGTCCCTAATTCCACAAACGTCAAATTGTATACAAGTATATTGTTACTAAGGTACTCTACTTATTCCTACCTAGAAACAGAATTCAAGAATTTCAATTACCACTGAGTTTTACATCATTAGACTTTTATAAGTTATCTAGTTATTATAAATGCACAAACATAAAAAAAAAATTATACATGTATACTAAATATATTGTCAATATTAATGTTTTCATAGTAGTAAAATAAATTTCCTATACTTATAGAATAATAGTAAAAAAAATATATCTAATATTTTACTACCTAATCAGTTTACGTATAGTATAGGTAAAGGTATAAATTATATAACAACTAAAAAAATTATTTTTTTATAGACAACATATTTAAGTGACATAAAAATGTTTAAATGTTTTATTTAAGAGAATAATAGATAGTAAATTTTCGCAAAAAAAGATGCGTCCTAAATGCATACTATGCACTTTATTTAATGCACAAAAAAATATTGCTCTTTTAAAAATATAATAATGCATTTTCTTTTAATATTATTCTACATGTAAATGTTTTTATGTAAAAATGCAGTTACAATACTACTTAAATGATAAGGTTGTAGTAATAATTACTAATTAGTATGTTTTTATCTTATTTATGTATGTAATATGTATATATCTTATTTTTATATTAAAATTACAAAAATCCATCTCAATTTTTTACAATATGCGGTTATGGATAATTTCAACCTACATTAATAACTGCATTATCAAAAATTGTTTTTTTTTTTGCGGTTATTGTGATTCAGTATTCAAAAGTGATACCAGGTGGCAGAAGTGTATAGTTGTAAAATGAACAAATAATATTATAAGTACATTAACTAAAGTAGTTAAAAAACAATTCGTCAACTCAATAAAATTATTTAAAATGCGGTGGGTAAAATCGGAGTGTTAGTATCAAAAACTATACAAGTGTCACAACCGGTGCCGTTAAATCGTGATCATTATTTTTGGCTTAATAATTTAGGCCAAATGAATTAATTTATTGGACGGGCTAGTGTGACATTAAACAATATGCCTCGTTGTCCACATGCCGTAGCCTTCTAAGCATAACAATTAACAAATAACAATGACTTGTCAGTGTAACTATAACGAGTAACACGGAATAAAATCCACGGAGTCGATCGCGGCATTCTCGTGGATATGCGGTCGTCGCGACGGCCGACGTGTCGGGTGTCCGGCGTCTTGTGGGTTGGTAACGGTTTCAGTGCAGGCAACATGATCGCGTGACAGTCGCTTAATCTCGAACCCATTGTCGCGATGGTCATAAAATGCGAAAAAAAGCAAAAAACCTTCGAAGAGGCGAAACAAAACTAAATATTCGCAATTTAAAAATCGTTTTGTAAAATAAAATGATTTTATTTTGGTTTTAAACTGCCACGGAACGGCAGAATTGGTATACGAAACGTCGGCGCCAGCGAACCGGCCGCCATGTTTTTCATTTGACCACCACCTCTGGCCGGTGTATCCCGACTCGTCGGTCTCTTTCCGTGTCTGCTCGCTGCCGTGCTATCGTTCGTGTGTGCCGCACTTTAACAATACATTTTTCTCACCGCCCGTGACGGTTCAACAGTGTTTGAATATTTTTATCCGTTTCGATCTGTTAGTGTAATAGTTTTTCGTCGTCAAACGGTAAGTAAAATTGTCTAGTTTATTATCTTTAGCGCGATTTTCCATATTCCGCCGCCCCCGGCTGCAAAGCCGGCCGGAATTTTATTCACGTTTCCTAACCGTGATTCTCACAAGTTTCTTTGGCTGCCGAAACCCCTAGCCCAACTCTTTTAGTCCGTTTCTTGATTACCTTTATAAGTTCACCGTTTTCCAATCAACATTACCAACCGCTTTACCTTGGGTTAAAATTATTCATTGTTACCGTTCGATCACGTTGGCGTACAATATGTCGGCGAACGACTTGGCCCGGAGTACGTGTCTAACTATTCACTTCCTTTATGTAGGTTTATGGCATACCGTGATATGTATGTACGCTAGATTTGTTACGGTTTCTTCTAACCGAAAATTCCACTCTTTAGGGTATTTCGACTTGCGACGAGTGGCCGTCGTTCCTGTGTATGTGGCAAAATTGCGTAATTACTGTGAATGCATTGTAACGGTTTCTGCTGCATAACCTATCTACGTGGCCGGGTCGTGCATTAACGCAATAACGTTTTTATTTTTAACACGAGATCTCATTGCCGGTTTTCTTATTATAAATGTTCAGCCGAAGAATTTCCCTTTTGGGTGTCAACGGTCGGCCGGTTAATGTCCGTTTCCTTCTCCCGGCTGTGAGTTGGCACCAATGCCAATGACACATGTGCTTGGTTGACCAAAATTCACGGTTACACCATAACCGGAATAAGTGCATGCACTTTTTCCTCTATTCTATTCAAATTCGCTGCACCAGAAATTAATTTAATTCATTGACCCCTTTCTGTAGCTTATTTTTGATCTACATTTTTTTTAAGGTTAAGGCACATTGCATCGTTTTCAGTGTTGCAATGTGCATACAGGTGTTTTTATCGCATTTCTGTTTTTTAGATTTTAAATCTCGGCATTTCAATAATATGATATATTTCTCAATTGCGTAATTCATATTTTTTACACGTTGACTTGACTTTACATCCTAGTCTTTTTCTCTTGTTAATTAGTGTAGTCGTTCTTATTGATAACCCTTTGACAATCTGTCAAAGCTAAAATTAGACAACTTAAAGGTTTGTTGTATGGCTTTTAACAAACTGATTTGTTATGACTTTAAGTGCAATTATTTACGTGTTTACGAACATAAGTTTATTTGATAGGTTTGTGTTCATAATCTTATTTAGCTGCATAGGTCTAAGGTCATGAATATTAATTATTCATGCATTTCCTTGATAAGATTACCATGTTATTATTCCCAAATTAAGAGTATTTTAATTTGAGTTGGTATTTATATTATTTTAATACATTTTATTTCAAAAATATTAAATTTTTACATTGCTAATAGTTGTTATTTTTTATTTTAGAAAATTCACCATGGGTAAAGAAAAGGTACATATTAACATTGTCGTCATTGGACACGTCGACTCCGGTAAATCCACAACCACTGGTCACTTGATCTACAAATGTGGTGGTATTGACAAACGTACCATTGAAAAGTTCGAGAAGGAAGCCCAAGAAGTAATTATATATATAAACTATTGTTCACCCTTAATCATTTTCAAATATTTATAATTGTATTGGCTCTCTCTCTCTTTGACCTGATAATAGTTATCAAACATAAATCTTAGTAAGTGTAGTTTTACTAATTTTTTGAAATTATCTATTAGATGGGAAAAGGTTCCTTCAAATACGCGTGGGTATTGGACAAATTGAAGGCTGAACGTGAACGTGGTATCACTATCGATATCGCTTTGTGGAAATTCGAAACTGCCAGATACTACGTCACCATCATTGACGCACCTGGACACAGAGATTTCATCAAGAACATGATTACTGGTACATCCCAAGCCGATTGTGCTGTACTTATTGTTGCTGCTGGTACTGGTGAATTTGAAGCTGGTATTTCCAAGAATGGACAGACCCGTGAACACGCTCTCTTGGCTTTCACCCTCGGTGTAAAACAGTTGATCGTTGGTGTGAACAAGATGGACTCCACTGAACCGCCATACAGCGAAGTAAGTAACTTTTTTTTTTTAATGAATATTGTTCAATCTTTATAGTTTTTAAGTCTAAATTTAATTTTTTTCTTACAGTCTCGTTTCGAAGAAATCAAGAAAGAAGTAAGCAGTTACATCAAGAAGATCGGTTACAACCCAGCTGCTGTTCCTTTCGTCCCCATCTCTGGATGGAACGGAGACAACATGTTAGAAGTTTCTGAAAAAATGCCATGGTTCAAAGGATGGGCTGTTGAACGTAAGGAAGGAAAGGCTGACGGTAAATGTTTGATTGAAGCGTTGGATGCTATCCTGCCACCCAGTCGCCCAACCGACAAGGCTCTCCGTCTGCCTCTTCAAGACGTGTACAAGATAGGAGGTATCGGAACAGTCCCAGTCGGTCGTGTGGAGACTGGTGTGTTGAAACCTGGTATGGTTGTCGTATTCGCACCTGCCAACATCACCACTGAAGTCAAATCTGTGGAGATGCACCACGAAGCTCTGGTCGAAGCTGTTCCCGGAGACAATGTCGGTTTCAACGTAAAGAACGTGTCTGTTAAGGAATTGCGTCGTGGTTTCGTAGCTGGAGATACCAAATCCAACCCACCCAAGGCCGCTGCTGACTTCACTGCTCAGGTTATTGTGTTGAACCACCCTGGTCAAATCTCAAACGGATACACCCCAGTGTTGGATTGTCACACAGCCCACATTGCTTGCAAGTTCGCCGAAATCAAAGAAAAGTGTGACCGTCGTACTGGTAAAACCACAGAGGCTAACCCAAAAGCTATCAAGTCTGGAGACGCTGCCATCATCACTTTGGTGCCGTCCAAACCTTTATGTGTTGAAGCATTCTCAGAGTTCCCTCCCTTGGGACGTTTCGCCGTACGTGATATGAGGCAAACAGTCGCTGTCGGTGTCATCAAGGTAAAAATCTGAAAACTTTTTTTACCCTTTTTTGTAAGTGTCCTAACTTTATGTTTTTTGTTTTTAGAGCGTCAACTTCAAAGACTTGTCTGCGGGTAAAGTAACAAAGGCTGCAGAAAAGGCATCCAAGAAGAAATGAATAGGCGTAGCAGTAGCGCACACACGTCCTTCAGTTAGGTCAAACGGAAGTTGGCATAGGTGTCAGACGCCATCCCAACTTCTAATACTATCCAAATGGTTGTTGCAACCTTGTTTTCACCGTAAAGAATTTCGCAGGAAAAAATCGTGTTGTGCTACTCATAATCGTATCATAATAACATTTTGTTTTTATTTTTTATTTAATTGCAACAATTTTTTAAAATTTTGTTTATGTTAAAAGATTTACAAGGATGGACATAATTTTAAAAAAAATGCGTTTATGTATTGCATTCATTTTGAAAATAATTTTCTTTTGAAATCTTTCTATAAAAGCTATAATTTTATAATCTTATATCTTAATTTTTTTTTTAACATTATTTACTGCATCTATGACTACAAAACCCATTTGGCCCAACTGAAAGAAGGCATTAAAACCGCCGCCTATATATTGTGTTACGTTTGTACTAATAACATCGGCAAATAAAACACACTTATTAACTATTTTTTTTTCCATCTACATTGGGTAGTTTTTATTTGCACCTTTCTATTATGTTTGAATAATATTTTAATTTGTGTTTGGTCATAAATTTGCACAAATGGGTACCAAAGCTCTAAAACTTGTCTTGAGTATTGTGACATATGAAATAGTTTTTTTCTAATAGTGATATCATTTTGGCATAACTAAGACGCTAAGCTCAATACTATTTCGTAATTGTTTAGTAGAATTTGATGTTTTTTATGTTTATAAATTAATTATTCCAAATTTTTTTTTTTTTATCTTATGAGTACTATTGATATTTTAAGTAAATCCTAAAATACAGGTAACTTCTGCAAATTCTTGATTTGAAGGTTAAACTGATGTGTAATTATAAGTTCAGTCCCAATTTCTGAATTGGGACTTTTTTGGTTGTCGATTTCTTTTTCGGACTATCAAAGACGTCTTTGACATTGTTTTAAAAAAAAATCTGCAGAGCTATGCATATTCTCCATTATCTAACGACTAATAATCGTAAACAACTTATTTTTACATACTTATAATAATGAGGACATTATTTAGGTTATTTTAATATTAACTAAACATTTACTATTTATGTTTTTATTGCGACTATTTTAAAGTGCTTGTATAAGGTAAAATTGAAGTTTTTTTAAAAAGCTGACAAGAACCTTGTTAAAGTAGTTTATTCTCTTTTGTCGAAATTTGTTTTCTATGACCATTCTGCTTTGACCTACACACTTCCATATACATGTTATAACGATTATTTTTATAGGGTACGTCATATTCTTTATGAAGGATTTTTTAATAACTAAAGTTATGTAGGTAATATTAAATATTTGGTTTTCCGACTTAATAATTTTTACCACTCTGAAACGTGTTATCTGGCAATAGTTTTGAAAATATTAAACGGATACAGATTTTAATACACGCTTGTATTGATCGAAGGACATTTTTAATTTATTCATATTGTAAAAATCACTAAATTAAAATGCACCACGGTTAATACCTTGGAAATGTTATGAGCAATTAAAAACTTTTCTGAAACTCAAATTTGAGTATTTTTAGAAACTTAATGCTAGAAGTAGCTCAATATATGTTTTTGTATGTAAAAAGGACCTGTGCGTTTTATAAGTTGAAAAAAAAAATGAAATATCAAAATAAATACCTGTCTTGTGTTAATATTCTAGTACAAATTTAAGATTGTTGAGCTTTAGTAAAAAATTTGCTATTTAATGATGAGAGTTGATAAATCTTAATGTAGAGGCAGAAGATAAAATGTTTCTAAAAATATTCTTCAAATATGAAAATATTTCCAATGATATACCTAGTATATTTTAACATTATAAAACAAAAAGTTAAGATTTTATTTCCTGACAAAATGGGATTTTTAAATATTAATTTACATTTCAAAAACAATAATATTTGTTTGCAACATGGGTACTCTATCGAGAAAGGTTAGCCCATTCAATTTTCGCCAGTATTATTGACTAAGTGTAATAGGATTGTAATTTGATTTCGACCTTGAATACGAAGTATTAGGAGATGAAAGCGGTTTGTTTTTCGGCTTTTTCGACCAAAAAATCTGACAAAACCTCGACTACTAAGGATGATTCGATTTCAATTCTGTAGAGAGATACAAATTGTTTGGCTACTTCTCGAAGTTACGTCACAAACCGATTTTTTATGTAAAAAAATTGTTATTTAAAAGTTAAAAATTTGATTTTTTTAATTACGATTTACGAGAAACTGATTTTTTAAAATGAAGATCGGCTTCTTATATAACCTAGTAAAGTAGTCGACGAACTCGAATCTTTTTTCAAAATTCAAATCTGATAATAGATCTAAAATAAACTAAAATGGTTTATACTCATAGAAAAAATGATATAAATTAAAAATATACCTTGAAGCTTATCATCAATTATTGACATGTGTTTTTTTTTAAATATTGCCTATATAAAACGCCTTACATGCACCGAATTTTATATAAATAATAAAGACTAAAACCAGAAGCCACTTTCTAGTTTCTAAAGTGTCTACCGAACCAATTTCAAACAAAATGTTTTTTTCATAAAGTTAACATCTTGTCTATGGGGGCTAAAAGGCTGATTTTTTATTTTTGTTTTCAAAATATTATAAGCGTTTATATTTGTATTGTATTTTCTAATAAATTCAACTAATTTTCTGAGAGCTAAATCAAAAATCGGCTTTTTAGCCCCCACAGAAAAAATGGTAAGCTTCACACAAAACAAAATTCAAATTGAACAACGTCCAATGGATACGCCGGAAAATGACTTCTACGAAAGTCATTTTTTACCAAACTTTCGCCATAATTCGGAACAAAAAAATCTTTTATAGTTTTATAACTAGAAAACTTAATATTTGTTTACATTAAAACTAGTCGGCATACTTGAAATCGTTACTAGATTAATGTTTGTCAAATATTGCTTATCCATTACCCCTTAATAGATAACGCTTTCCGTTTCCCTTAATAAAACAATATTTATTTACTTGTGGTTATTTCTCAAAACAAAAATCATCATACTTAGTTTTATATTGTTAAAACTCGAAATTATTATTACAGTTATTGTTAACGATAGTTGTTTTTGTGGGAAATGGCCATAATTAAATATTATGTGCACACTACGGTTTTGTCGTAAGTTGTTATTGACTTTTTGTTTTTCCAATGTATTTTCATAGTACAGACTGAGTGTGTGTGTGTGTGTCGTACTGGTACACACGACAATAAGGTCAACTCACTCGACCATGCTGGATTAATGGGGGGATGCGAGCATCATGGCCCAGCGATATTGATCCGTTTTCAGACTATTTGGGCTAAACCACATAAAAAATGAAATTCACGAACTTTCCTATTAAAAATTGAACTGTAACTCTATTTCAAAACAACTGAAAATGAGTAATTTTGGCATAAAATGGCTTCGTACAATAAATTAACGTTATCGATAAAAATATATAAATATATGTAAACGAAGTTAAAGTCTGTTACTGTTCCTACTGTCTGGTACTAGGTGCCTAATATCTTTATCAAAATTTAAGCAAGATCTCGATTTTATAAATATTATACTCATCACAAGGCCGATAGGTACAAATTAATCTGAAAACAAGCCTACGTGATCAGTTTTTTTTTGTAGTGTAAAACTATATTGCCTATTCTTTACCCCTTAACGCGAGCCAAAACAAAGTGAATTCAAAAATGAAAACATTTTTACAAGGGCCAACACAGTCGGTCAGCATGTCATTATACTGACACACTCGACTGTAGGTATAATACTATTTTAAAACCGTCACAGTCGCATGCACGAATAATTTGTGGCCATTTGGAATTTAACATGTTCAACCTAACCTGACCTATCCGAGAACCAAATTTTAACGAGTATGACTGGGGGGGGGGACAATAAAAAATGTATACAATACTTATCGACAAAATATGAGCTATAAAAACAAACGGCTATCGTTGTCGCTTTCGCACAAATCGAATTGCGCCGACTGTTAATTTATCTTTTCTCGCTATGGAAACGTCAAAAGAAAAATATACATAATACACGATATTATATAATTGTATACATACAAATAAATAACTCAACGAGTAGAAATTGTATTACGAGTGTCAACTTTGTCGGGTTTCTTTGGCGGTAACGACAACGTGAAAAAAATGAAAGGTGCTAATTTAAATTTATTTGCGTTGCGTTTTTATTATTCTTTGTCTTTCGGGAAAAAAGATACGCCAAAGGTTTTTCTCGGAGTTCTTTGTCGCCGTCATCGATTCCGGAAGACAAACAACTATGTAGTATATTTTTAATTATGTAATTAAATTGGTTTTGTTATTTTATCCAATAAGTACAAAGTTTTCGAATAAAGTTGAGAAACGCTGCGTTTTTTCAGACTTACCTTTTTGTATTATATAGGTATATAGGTACCTATTACCTAACGGCTAACTGTAAATGTAAATCGGTAAAGAGATCGTGATCATTGTCTTATCACTGTACATAATATAATATACATATTTTATAAATACTTGGTTAAAATTGTAACATAGATAACAAAAATAAAATTTGTATCCAATTGGTTAAACCGACTCTCAACTGAAAAAATTTTAATGGGTTGATGAATAACACATTTATAATCAGTTCTATTCAAGCATTATATTATTTTATTAGGTTTTTTTTTTAATGACAAATCACAATTTCTTTCACTACAATTTTATATAAGCCAATCTACACATATATATATATATATGAATAATATTATATATTATAACGAGAAACACAAGGATTTAAAATTTATGTCCGGTATACAATAATAAATAATACAAGGACAATCAAATCCAGTCAAAAATAAAAAAACAACAATTGTGAGGAATGTTTTAAAAAAAAATGTACAAAACAGCCATTAATATTATCGTCATAAAATAATATGTTGGTATACAAATTGTGTATATATAAAATTAAAAAAAAAAGTCAATAAACAAAATCCAATACATACAATAACATATATTAATTAATAATAATAATAATAATAATAATAAAAAGGTTGAAACAATGAGTTATTGCGTATAAAGATGGCAAGAAGCAAAAAAAAAAAGTCGTCAAATCTGGAAACACACACAATACAGGGAACTCTTATACCAATAGTAAGTAATAAACATAAAATATTTCTTTCTACTAGTATGTTTTTATTATTTTTTAATAAAAATGGATTCAACCCATTTGGTATGTATATAGGAATACTAAGTTTCGATAAATAATAAAATGTCGACACTACACACTATTTAGACAACTCCGAGCAAGCTGTTAGATAATTTATTTTGATTTCGTTTGGCCAGTCCATCGTTCAAGTCCAACACGATTTTGTCGCACCACTTTTTCGTCGGTGTCGTTGGCGAATCGCAGTAATTCTATTTGAAAACGACAAAACGAACATTGTAAACGATGCCATTTTTTTTTATATATTTCTTTTTATTTAAAGAATATTTACAGTCTATGCTACAAGGCGTAATAAGCAAATAGTAACATTATTATAAATACAGCAAACTGGCTATTAGATATACTCACGATTAAATAGTTCTTTAGTGATGCGTTGTCTTCGATGAACGATTTTAACGATGATTTCGTCAACGATGATGTCTGTGTATCGTCCGAGGAAAGCAGGTAAACGGCAAAGTCGTAGTCTTTGGCTAGGTCGACGTGAGTTTTAATGGAGTCTGCGAATACAATGTTTTAATTCAATTTGTATATATTTCAACGGTTAGGTGTATGTGTTTGTGTGTGTCGGACATACCTTCGTCAAAATCGATGAGATAGCTTTTAATGATGTAATTGTCTTCTTGTTGTTGTTCGATTTTCTCTTTCAAATAATGCGCCCTCTCTTTGTTCTCTTGGTCGTAAAAAATTATCAAGTTCCACGTTGTCTTTTTGGCTGTAACGAAACGTGTACGTCAATATCTATTAATTCCGTTTCGGCCATTGCAAATGATACGTATTTAGTATACAATAATACAAGAAAATAATGCATATAAAAATCACTTACGCAATATGTATTTGTCTTTTGCTATGTTTTTCCTTAATCTCCGGTAAGCCGCGACCACCCATCGACGTTTCCACAGGGTCAATATCAACAACACCATAAGACAAATTATGAAAATGAGTTCCTTGAACAATTTTTTTTCCGACTGTTCTTTGGCGACTAGAAAAAAAAAACGAAAATATGGAAACGTTAATGAAGTTATTTGTTTTAAGTATTATTATAAAAAAAAGTTGAATTCAAAACGCTTATTAAAATAATAACGTCAAATGGTAAACAATAAACGAGTGTAAATTATAAATAAAACTATTATATATTAATATAGGTCCGTTTTGACGATAAAATTATAATAAACAAAAAATTTAAAACAGGATTTTTTGTTTATTATAATTTTATATATATATAATTTTTTGTGAATATTACTTTTAGGACGTTTTTTTATCGATTTTGAAAGAGTATGGATAAATTTTTGGTCTTGGACGAGATACTAAAAAGATTTAGATTTTATAATAATGTAGTTTTTAACATTTTTTGCCCTATAAGGTCAGATTTCTGATCTTCAAACACGTGCTACATGAAGAATTTGTCTAAGGGTCACATTAAATTATTGTTGTTAGTATTTACTTAAAATATCTTACTCGAAATTCTGGAAATTAAAATTTAATAAGTCGAGGACCGACGATACTTTTAGTCTTGACACAAGTGTATAGATAATATACCTAATAAAATAAAAAACCGACGTTTGACAATTCTATCTCGGGTCTGCATCGAAGCTAAAAATACATAATTTAAATTTTATTCGACTTATTAAATTTTTTAATCTACAATTTCGAGTAATATATTTTAAGTAAAGAATAGCAACAATAATTTAACGAAAAGAAAGTAAGAATTTCTTCGTTGGAAATACAAATGATGACAAATAGATATTATAATTTTAAATAATAAAGCAATTGCGACTGGAAGTGATGACAGTAAATTTTATTGTTTAACACGTTCAACGCAATATTGTGACGCAAGCAGACTTCTTAGTACTTTTGATCGACCATATTGTAACAAAAGATGAGAGCGGCATAGGGAACAGCTGTCGCCTAACGAGGCGCTCCACCTTAAACAATCCTTTTGTAAATGCGCGCAGTTAATGGAGATAATATAAGCAACGACCGACGAGAGGGAAGTATTTTGGGTATAAAAAAAAACCATCTTGCTTTTAATAGTTTAATTTCGAGAAGACTTTTATAACCCGCTAACCCTTCCTCCGGGTTCGTTGATAACTATTCTTTTTTTTTTTTTTAAAGCATTAGCAACGGTTAAGCCTCGTTAGTGGTCGAAAATCGTCTACTTACCGAATTTCGAAACGCTGGTGAACTGTTGCACAATTTGATCGTCCGTGTTGCTGATGGAACACGAATATTGTCCGTAATCCGTTTCCTGTATATTGTTTATGTAGAGAAAAGCTCCCAGCACTTGTTCGTTCTCCCTGTATACAATACACACATATTTACTGTGCACAAATTATGTTAAAAATCATAACGCAGAGTAGACAAGTACAACCACCTCGCGGAACTCCCAAAGTAGCATGTAAGGTTTCAGATTTATATTTATATTCGCTAACAATATGTGATCGGTCATTCAGATAAAGTTTTTCAAGTGATTAATAAAGTGTAATTGTAATTGAGGTGCAATCAGAGACTCAAATAGTTAACGAAGAAAATAAAGTTTCGATATAGGGGCGATAGTTTTCCACTTTGGCGAACAATCATCGACTTCTAAATTAGTTTGACAAAACTTGATTTCCATGACTTTGGAAAAACGGTTGAACAACGTGGTTGTTGGACCAGCAGCGGAATAACGATGATGGTAAAAAACGTATTTTTCAACAGGAATTTAATCTACAGGACAATTGAAGTAATTTCTAAGGCCGGACGAGACGCATTCATTTTGACTAGAGCCTGATAAAGTGCATTAGTTACAGTAAATGTCATGTCTAGTAAATACTAAGTCAAGAACGATTAAGTACACCAAAGGGGTATCATTACACCACAGAACTTTGGGCAAGTTTAAGTCACCACTGCATTCTGGGTAACTACTTGCTCAATTTTCAACAAAACTGGTATGAGCTACATAAATGCCTTTATTGCCTTTTAAAGCCAGATAATTACCAACCACAGTATATAAATTATTACTATTGTCATTTAGATACAAATGTTCAAACTTATGTATCTTATATTCCTTCACTAACCTAATGACTTCTTGAATCTCGTATTTGTCGTTGGATTCGACCGTTCGGTTCGATCCTATTTTTTTCCACGTTATCGTGTTGGTGGCGTCGGGGAGTTTGACTTTGCCTGTAAGAAAAAAAATATTAGGTACCAATTATGCAAAAAATTTAATTTTTTTATACAATATAATATAAATAAACAGTAACGACCGGTCTTACCTACGAACCCTTCGCAGTACAACCGGATGAAATCGCCGTGTTCGGCATAGTGGACACGGGGCATTTTATAAGTCGGGAGCGGATCTCCCCAGTAACCAGCATCGTCTGAAACAATGAGAAAACATTTTTTAAGAGACTCCTGATTTACGCGAACAACGAGTTAGTATTTGGAAGTCAGTAATTATTAGACATAAAAAGTCATATTATATGAAGTACACGACACGTAGGGCTCTCGTTTGTATATAAAATAGACGTTATGTATCGCAGCAGATTGTTGCAAGGGAAGGACAGAACTTTTGTTTTTTTTAGTTTTAAAATTAGTTAACACACCGCCGAAATTGGCACAAAAAATCCCTGCAGATTTATCTGTTTAAACGTAAACAAATGTATATTACTAAACCAAAACCACGGGTTTCACTTTTAAAAAAAACTTTAGTTTTGCCAACAGCTTTGGAACACAATGGGATTCGGTATGAAAACATATCGATGGATTACAAAACATGTTAAATAAACATATAAATAATAATCCTACTTTGCGTAGGTAAAAATACGTGATTCCCATTGAATTGGAAGGATAAACGAACTTAAAGCAGCACCTATGGATTGTAAATAGAATTTTGAATGTCCTCGGGTTGGTTAGGTTAGGCAAAAATGGGTTAAAAAGACTACCTTTGTCGTAAACACCAACACAAAAAAATGAAAAGCTTCAATTTTCACATAAAAAAGGTATGAACACCTTAAAAGCTGCCAGACCAGTATTCTTCGTAAAATTAAAAACTCACAAACATATATATTATTATAATTATACCTATATAACAATCGTCATCAATTGAACTGCAGGCAGCAGAACAAACCTTAAGTATATAGATTCGGTTGCATAACGCTTTAAAGTATTGTGTACAATACACCGTTATACGGTTACATAATATAACAGCGCTTAACAGGATCCAAGGAACACTAAGCAGTGTGTAAGTACTTCAAGCGAAAAGTTTGTTGGATAAGTGGAAAAATACAATAATCAAGGCCATTAATATTATGTTTTTTTTTTAATTACACGACAGTCAGTTCTTCTTCAAAAGTTCATAAAATCTTAAGTGGAAAATACGAAAGAAATAATATCCCACATGTGTTTCAAAAGTGACACAAGGTGAAATATGGTATAGTTATCACCATTGTAAGATTCGTAAAGCAGTCCTGGAAATATGCAACAACTACTAATATGCAATATAATGAGTTTTTTTTTCTGGTGTCTATGCAATTTGGAAAAAATATTAGTTATGTAAATGTTTCTTGTTAAGCTCAGCTAACAGATTTCCAAAATTTGCTTAAAACATTATATTTTTTACTTGTTCAAAATGTAATTTTGAGAAATTTTTTTTTCTGCTTCAAGTACGAGGCCAGCTAAAAGTGAAAAGACTGCGCACCAAAAATGCAATAGTCCAGAAAGAAAACGCAAGGCTGAACAAAGAACTCCATGTGGTCAAGGGCCATTTAACTGGCATCGTTGCAAAAACTACACAATGCCAATCAATCATGACCGAACACAGTGTACTTGCACTTAAACTTCAACGCGATATTGCGAACTTGGTCAGGGACGGTAAGCACAATATATTTAACAAGGTTTATCAGGGAGGATTTGGAAAATAAACCGTATTTTATTATTAGTGTTTTTTTTTTGTTTTTGTTTAGATATCGCCAAAGAAGAGGAGATCGCGGAGCTTAAAGCCAACTTGAGAGCCAAAGTCTCACGTGGTTAGAACCGTTCAGGCTTTATCCAAACACCACTTAGCTAAAGCAGCCGGTCGGATAGAAAAATTGGAAGCTGAACTTGTAACCATCGTAGAGCGAGTAAGTACAATATTTTACAAAATTTGTCTAATAACACACACCATTATTTTTTTTAGCTTATCATACAATTGTCGTTCAAGTTTAATAATAAAGTGTTAAATGTATTAAAATCGATTTTGAAATGCTAAATAAATAGAAAATCGTACAATAACATTGGAGGTTTTCGTCGAATAGTAGATAGGTATGTTTAAGCTACAGTTTTAAAATAATTTTTAACAAAACTTTTGTTACTTGATAATTTCACCCTTATTAAATAATTTCCTTTTTGTCCACCTTTTCACATTTAATGGCTTTGTGTTGTTTTATAATAATAATTTATTACACTTTTCATCGCTGATGTTGACATTGTAATTTAAAATGTAATTGTTAAAACAAATATTGTTTTTCAAGTTAAAAAAAAATATATTTATAAATATACATGATAATATCAATATTTTGTTTTTGGCAAGTTAATTACAATAACATATTGTGCTATAATATTAGAGTTTAATGCGTGTACACGTCTACCTAAAGCTTAAAAATATATATCTGTGTGTGTGTGTGTGTGTTGTTCCAGCCTTTTTGCAGATTAACTGTGTGGGATTTAAGCTCGAAATATATGAAACAAACAATAAATTCATCGAAAGGGAAACATCCAGTGTATGATATTTAACTATTGCGCATGGATTAATAATTACAAAATACAACGGCTTAAGAAGAGAAAAAAAAATGTTTTATTGTGCAAAATGTATACATAACGTTCGCCTTTTCAACCTTCCAGCCCATCACCATAATACTATTTTACATAAACATTAAAAAACACGCAACATTATATTTTTATTGTGTCTAAAAAACTACTGACAAAATACGCGGACGACGCAGACGACTATACTGAGAATCGGTATGTTAAATTAATAAATCTCAACTACGTTAGTATATTTACATAGACGGTTTTCAGATTTTTTTCTTTCTATATCCTAACGTACGGTTATTTGTGCTGAATAGTCTAGTTAACGATTGAACACGGTCCCGTCACTTGTACAGAGAAATCCTCTTATAAGTTTGAATGCATATCACAATATTTATCTAACAAAAAAGCTTATAAAAAAACCCGGATTGTTTCAATATGTATCCTTGTCAGATGTCTTTAGTTTTAAAATGACTATTCGGGCTCATTACAAACTTGCCAAGTAGTAAATACTATCCGCAGACAGTAAATGTCTGCGGATTACTTTCTACGGATATACATTGTCAATTCATCAATTATACATATATATATATATATATATATATATATTATGCATACGTTTTCGTTCAAGTTTCAAAAGTTGATAGCGCTCTGGAAAACACCAAAAAAAGGTAAATGTTTAATATGAATAATTCGGATAATTTCCGAATGTATACACACGTCTTCAGTTTTATGCTGACTTACTACAGTCCATTTCGGAGCGATTGTTAAATTCATTTATTTTATAAAGGTATTATGTATATACTTATCAAAAAAATCATGATGTATCCTTACGCTGACATTTTGTGAGTTAATAATATAACAGAGTGGGGATATGCAACTTTGAATATTTTAGCCATGACTGGCCGCTTATTTCCTACCGCAATTTATGCGTCCGGCAGTTTAGAAAGCACCGTGTTATCTTGACCAGGGGGAGGGGTACATGTCGTGACGTGCCGTCACGTGTCGTCACGTGTCACGTGGTTTTCTTAGAATGTTGTGATTTTGTTTTGGCATTCTTTACACATTGCTCTTCTTTTTCTGCATTTTTCATTTATTTCGACAATTTTACATTGATCGGTTGGTTTCATTTATTTCTCTATTTTTTCCTGTTGAATAATTGGTTTCTACGTATCGCTAATTTTCTATTGCTTCTTTATAACGTCTTTTTACCGAAGTTGGCTTCTTTGTTTAGTCCTTTTATCTTGTCGAACTGAATATTATATTGTTATTATTATATTATATTATAATATAGTGTACTGCGATGGACGCTTAGGTTTTTATTATATACGATTGGGTTTAAATACGGTTTTCATTTTAAATTTGTTTTTTATTCTGGAGATGCGATTTATGACCCATATATGTACGGCGATGACAATATTCCTTTGATGTTATCTTCATTTTCTACGTTGGGATTTACTGGTTTTTGTGTATTTTCCCGCTTACTATGTTGATGTCTGCTAGCGTACATTACATCTGTTATTTTGAAGTGCTTCCCGTAAGTACATTGTTTTCTTCCTTTAAAGTATTCGCTGTCGGCTATCATTACCGCTCTCGTGGCCATTATATATAGTAGACCCATTTTTTTGTGTGGGGAAATTATGTTTAAATACCTGTCAGTGTAGGTCTTCATCCTGAATATTCCTGTACCGAAGTTTCATTCTGGGTTGTCTTGCTGACTAACACGGCCAAAAACGGAAGATGTAGATAATAGATATTACTCGATCTCCATTTTTAATTCAATATTCTTTTATAAACTGTTTAAATGTTTTGAGAATATTTTCTGCCATATTGTCATTGTACGAATGTATCATTCACAGCCACATTTTTTATTTCAAGCAATTATTTTCTAAATCGTAATCTTCGCAAATACTGGTGCTAGTCTTGATCCCATTGTCATACCATCAGTTTTCTATTGTTCATAAATGGTATCTTGGTATGTAAAAACCGTTGCTATAGTGAATTCCCCCAATAATTTAGGGGTGTTTTGGGGTGTAGTTTTTTGTTCAACAATTTTTTCTCTCTTATGATTTCTGAATGTGGCTTTGAATGTTGCAAGACCGCCATTCAAATATTCATTTGGTTTAAAATTAAAATTTTTTAAATATTCATTTTTTTACTATATATATAACCGTAATTTGCTTAGTTTTTTCTAGATTTGTAAAGTTATTAAACTCCATACAATACGCTAGTAAATAAAATAAAAAAATTAAAATACACCAGACTACTCGAATTACCACAATGAAGCGGCCACAAGAAAAATGAGTCAATAATCGGACGACATTCCAAATTACATACCGGATTACGGTATAGTTAATCTACTTGACAGCAAGGGACATACCCTTCGACTCTGGCCAGAGGCCGATCCACTACTGAGACCCAACTACAACTTCTCACTAGTGGGGTTCACGAGACTATTACTCCTACGAGACAAAAAACAAAAATATAATAAAACAGATTTACCGTTGAAAATAATATTTCGGAAACAACCAAGTGGAAGTTTTTTAGTTTTAGTACACCCAAATTCCAGGAACACTATTCGACCATCGTTTATAGTCGCACGTGCACGTATAATATATTAACTCTTCTATGCCCATTTTTTAGCTGTAATGGTATTGATTTTACATTGATGTATTTTGTTCCAAACTTCTTTTTTAAGGATTTTTTTTAAGTAAACTACAATTGTTCTTATTAAATAAGTTGTATTCCAAGTATTATTTATATTATGAAACATAAAGAAAGTTTGTACGAAACCTAAAAAACTTTAGAACGACGAGCCCCGACTACGTGGAATTTCTACAAGTCCACTGGGGTTGTTAAGTCCTAATGAAGTACGTTGTGTAGTTAATAGTAAATTAACGTGAAAAAACATTACTTACATAATAACCGTTCCGAAAATTGTTTTATTGAAAATTAATAACAATTAAAGAGTTATTCGTAATATAAATAAATGAGTAAATTTTTATATTTATATTTTAACGTAATAAAAAAATGTATTAGTTAAAACGGTTTCCGAGAATATAACCTTAAGTTTAGGAATTGTATTGCTTAGTTTGCTATTAACGTGCGCTACATATTTCATTTGATCGTCAAATAATGAATTGTAATAATTAAATATTCAGATTTATAGCACATAATAATATATTACCTACACTAGAGTGTTACTACATTCAAAGTTGGCTGAATTCCAGGTTTTTTAAAAGTCCAATCTAGTTAGGTTATTTTGTGAATACATAAACCCAATACCAATAATTTTTTCAATACCAAATACCAATGATTGGCTGGGTTTAATGAAAACTTTCAACTATACCTACGTTGCATTCAGATGTAATAAATTTACTTCCTTTATTTTTCCTCACTATGTAGAATATAAAAAACGCCAAGTTTATGTATTGTATATTATGTTGTAGATTATACATATTCAATAAATATGAATATATTAAGAGTTTTAGATGTTATTGCTCATGCCGAGTTTGCAATTCCAAGAAGCAATGAAATAGAAAAATATACATTCTCTTTTATACAATATAATTTGTTTATAATAATATTTATCTCTGGAACATGGTAAGTTTATAGATTTTCTTTTTATGATCGTCCCAGGGAAACTGGGAAGGTTGTCCATTTATTTACATTCATTTAAAAAATACTCACATTTAGTGTTCACTTAATGCGTTTTTTTGTTTACTCGTAAAAGTAAATTGTACAAATACGTTTTAAGGTCGAGGTGTTATTGGGAGATTAAGACCAAAAGCCACTATAACAACTCTTAGAAATAATTTCAAAGTGTGCAGTAGCTGGCTTCTGAGATAAAAGTTTGGTTCTTGTTGTGTTTAACCTATTTATTTTAGAATACTCTTTATTCTAAAATAGTTTAAACCCGGGACCAATCAACAGTTGAACGACCTATCACAGATAAACGTAACGATCATCATTTAAAAAGGTTTTTGTTGAAAAGTTCAGATATATTATTGTACAGAAAATAACAAAATCTGTAGCTAAAGAGACAGAGATAGGATAATTTCACTTGATAATGATTCATCGATTTCAGTCTTTGGCTAATAGGAATTAGTCATTAATCCTACATGTGTTCAACTCAAGAGCCAAACCATCTTTTCTAATAAGGTCATGTGTTTTATTATTTTGTAAGTAAAAGAAACGGATGATAGCCAAAACATAACATGTATTATATTTCAACCAATTACACTGAACCAGAAGGCTCCTATGCTAGGAGAGCGGTCAACCCACTAATGCACTCTAACTGGCCGGCGTATACTTTGAATGTTACATGAGTCGCCATTTTCGTTTGATTTTTATACATTTTTTTCTCGTCGTTAGCCCTATTCAACTAGAACAAATATGAACCCATGAAGTTTTGTTAAGATTGATTGGCCACTCTCCGATTATGTAGCCTCTGAACACTTGAAGACCTCTTTCTGGCTTCTAACTACGTCTATTGTGTACCTACAGCTATAAACAACACAGACATCTCAAGTTTTGTATAAATACTATTAGTTGCAACTTATACGTAGTTCAAAAGTTTGGGCAATAAGTGCTATAAGAGGATAACTAATAATTACATAAAATATAAGCGTTTTGATTTTTCTTTAAAACTACTTTTTCAAGTGTATTTATATGGAAAGTCCTTATAGCGGTAAAATTCAGTGAAAACCCCATTTGACTTGTGCGTACACGTGCCGGGGGAGCTGGTCCTTTATTCCTCGTAATGAGTCACGTGCTCTAATGGGGTTAGCTTATTGACGTGTGATTAAAATACAGCCTAATCACAACTTCCGGAAAATGAACAATTCTTCTTAAATGCTTATACGTTTCGAAGAATATTTCTTCAAAACTAGTTATTGAGCAGTAGTTGTTTCCAGAAGATCAATCTTTTGGCTATGAAAACATTTATTACATAAGCCCGAATGACAATTGGAGGTTATAAAAAAATTGGTGAGAATATTATGATGGTTTTAGTGTTTATACAAGACGACTGGATCTTAGGAGACGTCAAGCTGGTGCATGGCCGGTGAATCAATAATTAGCATGGGATTTGTATTTACTTTTAAGCTAGGTATCTAAACACATTTCGTCATAATTCAGATACCGAATAAACAGATTGCTTTAAATTGTCGAACCGAGTTCTATTTTCTAACTTTATTATTATTGATTTATGAATGTTCATTAAGGTACACCGATTGAGATACAAGAAATACCATTCAACAGATTACCGCTACACATATCACACACAATGCTATGATAAATATTATTATACTAACCAGTGGTGCCGAGGTTCACAGAGTGATTAATGGTAGTCGTGTGGTTAGCCAGTTGACAAGTGTAAACGCCTCGGTCGGACTGCGTTAAGCTCTGTGTGTAAATTGTCTGGTTGGCGCTCTCCGGGTTCAGTATGAAACTGGACACGTCGCTGGGCCAAGGATAAGGACGACCGTCTTTGAACCTTAAAAAACACAAGAAAAAAACCTCGTTAATGACATCAAAACGTTTTGACTTTTGGGCGTAAAAATAAACAATAATTTATTATTGGTGCGCGCACTATTCGTTAAAGGGCTGCGATTATTAGTTTTTTCGCTTTCCTTGCCACCGCCATCGATTTAGTTACACTAAAGAATTGCATTACACCTGTTGGAGACACGGTTTCTTGGAACAACAAGGCTTAGGTTGAAAGGGCAGCACGTTGTTATTTATTATTCTCTAACACTCCATTCTACTAAACGTCGTTGGGGTCCACAATTATTAAACGACTGTTGCCGCTTACTCTATATTATATTATACGTGCATTACTGCGAGTACCTGCAGCTTGAATATACAACGCCAGCGGACTATAATAATATATTTAGTTCGAGAGACCTTTTCCTTTCCACAGTTCCACGGTAACACCGTAATATGTTGGGACAGGGTATTATAGTCGGATGGAATACTTTGTTTACAGTTGGAAAAAAAATACATAATTTAAATACAATTATAATAACCCAAGTAAACAAAAATAAAAGTGTGGTTGGACGAGGAAAATAAAATAGAAGCAATACTCGAAAACGTATAAATTATTACCGTGCAAAATATTTTATTTAAACCAAGTTTTCAAAATAGTTCGTCACATGTATGGTCGTTTAATTTTGACTAAATCCCAGAAGGTTCAAAGCAGCAGTTTGCAACCAGAGGGTAAAAAATTACTTTGCACGGATGGCATGTCACCGCAAAATGAGCTACTATTGTGCCCTGCTCTTATATTTTAAGCATGTGCTTTACATGTATATCAAACGAACACAACAGGCAAACGGGCTAGGTTACGACCACCGCACCCTACATCAGATAGGTACCTGTTATAATATATTTAACTACAATTTTGATAATGCGCATTTTAGCGAAGGCCCTCTTCCGGCTATACGCGTGAAGTTTTAACGCTATTCTGAGAACTCCCCTTTAGGCATATTGATTAAAGCATTACAAACACAACGTCAACATCATTTTGGGAGAAAGGGTTAAATTAATTTTAACAGAGTTATGGTCTTTGTGGAGGCTTCAAAGCCTCGTAAAAGCCACACTAACTAAGTGGTTAAGTCAATTACGAAATAAAGTTTGTTTATACAAGCAATTTACTAAATAAAACCGTACACAGTGCTAACATTTTTTATATATTTATGTATTGAGCATAACGAAGAGAAATCGATTTTGCCAGTAAATAATTTTTTTCGAATCATATTACAACAATGTTTTTTAATGCTATTTTTTTTATACAAAAGCATATCGCGGTAGATGCACATTTCTGAGAAACTGATGTTGCCATAACCCGTAAAAAATAGATTTAAAAATGTTAATACAACTTTTGTAAAATTATTTAAAACTTTCGCTGTGTTTACTTATAAGATCGGCTTTCTCGCGTTTTTATTTATTGTTTCGAAAATTATAATTCGTTGTTAAATGTATGTATTATGTAATTTTTTTTCGATGAAAAAAAAACTATTTTAAGACAAAGAAAAAAGTGCGAAATAAAATTTATTCTCAGGATATGATAATGGAATAAGGAATTAAAATGTATGCCGTAACAGCGAAAGTAAACGTAGTATTTGTATTTTCTTAAAAAACTAAAAGTAAAAACTAGTGGCGGATTGCAAATTATATAAAATAAAAAAACCTTTGAATTGTTCACATAGCACTCGAGGCTCAAGCTGTATAAAGATCAAATTATGTTTTAATACATACAATAGAAACAATAACGAAAGAATACCACAACTCTTGTGGATATTTTTAGTCGTTTTGGGATGGCAACAACGTGCTTTAATGAACGAGAGTTCTGTAGTGAAACCATAATTATTTTTTTAAAGTTTTTACTGTTTTACTGAACCTCATTTACATGGTAATAGATGTTACTGTCATGATTTCCGTCAAATTTTGTATAACTAATTACCTAGTGAGAGATAACGATAAACACCACAACTGCTGGCTTTTTATTTCTCAGTGTGGTGTGTTTTTCAGCAAATACATTTTTTTTTGTACTGTCTGGACGCATATAATTATAAGTTCCAATGCTGCAATAAATATGCAACACTAGAAGTAGAGAAAACCAGATGTTCGGAATAATTATACCGAAATACTTTCGACGTCGAATTTCCAAGAAAGTTGGGAGGGTAAAAAAATTATCGTTGAAGTATCATTTAAAATTCACACGTAATATGTAAATCCTGAAAACGCGAACAGGCCACAGTGTTCAAAAATATTTTTTGAAAAATGTTCAAATGACATTGACATAAATTAGATTTTCATGTTTGCACTGTCATTATCGTTGAAATTTTGTAATAAATCTACTATGGAATGAATAATATTATACAAATTGACTATATAAGCTAGAGAGATTTAAATTTAAGTATCAATGATCATTAAACAAGTATATTATGATAATTTACCATCAATATAGTAGTTAGTACCTACTTAAATTATATAAATCTCGCAGTGGCAGGAAATGTACGAGTACACTAACTACGTGACGGTGATAATCATATTTCAAGCGGTAATATTACAGTAAATCTAGAAAACATAAATATACTGTGTTTTCTTGAGAAACTGAACGCGATGAAAGTCAAGACACATGGTGTGGGACAAATGACATACTACACCCAACGTAACTTAAACGGGTATTAAAATTTAATATGAATAAAGATAATAGCGTGTTGTTGGCGTCTTCCAGGAATAAGTCAAGTCTTGATGTTAATTATCTACGGTACCTACCATACTAAGTTTAGTAATTAATATTCAACGGCAACAGATTCAAACTACATTCCGCCCACGAGAATCTGTTTAAGTTTAATAAACAGTTTTTTATAAGTTAAAAATCCATCCAAACGGATGAAACGAGTTCCACGTGCTTTTTAGTCAAACGTTTACGTCCAACGGAATTGTTTATGAGAACATTTTGAAACACTATCACATCTTCTTACATAAGACAAATTATGGTTTTTAAAGGTATAATATATATATATATATATATATATAAATGGCCGTTAAAAATAAAAAGTTTGCTCCCACTTGAAAAATATAAAGTTAGCATCAAAAAAAGAAAATCCTGAAAGTTCTAACGCTCTATCTCAATATTAAGGGGTGCCGGTAAACTGTTTTTGTTTTTTCATATAATACGATTTTAATGATTTTTGACCTTGATTATTACGGTTTTTGTGACGATTAAAATAAAATCAATATTAAACAAATAAATTTGGAATTAGAGATACTTTTTACTCAAATATTTTCAGGTCCTAATGATGGATCATTCACCATGGTTTCAAAAAAATTTAACAATTCAGAGGTATTTTTTGATTTTTATTTCTATTTTAAAAATGATTCTGTCGATGTGGAAAATAAATTCATTTTAAGAATATTATAATCAGTTTTACAACCAATTTAACTAAAATCAGTTATTGGACATTAAAACACAGCTTGTATAGTTGTTGTTTAGCTACAAAAGAGGCCCTATGAACTCGCTTTGCATTTTTGTCTATGGTGCAAAGTGTAATATTACAGCAGGACAGAGGGGCAATACGGGTGGGTAGATGAATGCTGAGTCAGACCGGCAATAACTGGTTTTGCTTCAAATAAATAATATTGTGATGTGAGACGTTCAAATATAACGAATACACACATAAATACACTGATGTGAAGATGACTATGTTTGCCTGTAAGAAACCCAATGGCGGATATAGGACAAATCCGGGTACGTGTAAACATATTATACTAAACAGTTTATAAAAGTATTACAGTAATACTATATGTATTATTACCATACCTATGCAGAAATTTGATAAACTATTCGTTAGGATTTTCGTCATGAGGTAGGTGATAAGTTTAAGACAATTTTACTGATGAGAACCAACGGGGTAGAATACGGTACTTGTTATCGAATATTTGGTTTATTGTTAGTAAGATTTCTCTAGGTGTAATTGTTGGGAATCAGGAACAGTTATTGTTCAAGTAAAAAAAATAATAATATAATATTGGTAGGTAATATTACAATTACTGATGTACTTCGAAGTGCACGGTTCTTAACAATTTGTCTTTATTAAATTCTAGCGAAGCATAGGATTCTTAAGAAACGCACATTAAACTATCATTGTAGATTAACGAGTTCCGCTGGCAAGTAAATATACGAGCCTAGCCAATATTTTCCATTAGAAACATTACGAAGACACGGTGCATTCTTCCGAAATTAGCGGCCTTGTGAATAATACGCACGTACTAGTACCATAGAAATTTGCTATTAAAAATCACCATAGTTTAAAAAAAAAGATTTTTTTACCTTTAAGTAAGTTTATGAGCATTCGATTTCATGTGGAGATAAAAAAAACAACCTTCAACTACTAAAAATAATCCTATTTTACTTTTCCCTATACTTATGCCGTTTTTTACAGTTTTTTGGCGTTCTTGGCACATAAGCGTTCCGATACTGATTATTTATCAATATAGACAATATTTGACAAAGAACTTTTTTCTATCAATTTTGATCACGTCGACGTTTTTGGATATACTTTGACCGCATCTGACTTCTACTCTTAATTATATAGATTGAATCATTAGGTGATATTATCAAAGGCGACTAAAATATTGAATTGATGAAAATTTTTAAAACTTTTATTATAAAGCATAGAAATTTAATTTTGAAAGTTAAAATCTTATAAAAACACTAAAAAATGTTCGATAACAAAAAATGATTTACTCAGCTTTGCATCGAAGCTAAAAAATAATATTTATATCAGAATTCGATTACTCTACGAGACGCTATTCCATTTCCCGTTAAGCATGTTTCAGTAAAAACAGTATTAAATACAGTAGATTAACCATATTTTCACAATGTATATAGAAGCATAAGCTGTAACGTTTTTATTTTTTTTTAAATCTATATTTTTATAAGCAAATGAAAAAAGGAAATCTTTACGAATGAATAATTTTGATTGT